GACATCTATTGCATTGGAAAAGTCTGCAATCAGAGACCTCTCCAAATTACTGAGGAGCAGTGGTATCACTTTGAAGACTGTGGTGTGCCTGATTCAGGCCATGGTCTTTTCAGTCACTTGCTACATATCTGAGAGCTGGACAATGAAAATAGATGACAGAAGAAAAATCGGGGCCTTTGAGCTGTGTTGGTGGTGGTGTTGTTGTTATGTGCCATCCAGTTGCTTGCGACTCATAACAACCCTATGTACAAGAGCTCTAAATGCTGTTCTATCCTGTGCCAACCTAGCCATCTCAAACACACTTATTCCCACCGCTCCAGTCACAGAATCGATCCATCTCACCGAAGGTCTTCCTCTCCTTCGCATCCCCTCCACTCTGCCAAACATGATGTCCCTTTCCAAGGACCAGTCCCTCCTTGCAGCATGCCCAAAATATGTCAGACGAAGCTTTAGAATCCTTGACTCCAGGGAACACTCTGGTTTCACCCTCTCCAGGACAAACCTGTTTGTTCTCCTAGCAGTCCATGGTATATTCAACACTCTTCTCCCAGCACCACAGCTCAAAGGCATCAATCCTCTTTCTATCAGCCCTATTCACTGTCCAACTCTCTGATGCATAGCACATAACTGCGAAGACTATAGCCCTGATCAGGCACACCTTAGTCTCCAGCGTGACATCATTGCTCTTCAGTACTCTTGAGAGGTCCCTCACAGCCGACTTTCCCAGTGCAATTCGTCTCCTGATTTCCTGGCTGCTGTTACCAAGAGCCTTAACTGTGGAGCCAAGTAAATTAAAACTGTTAACTATCTCAATCTCCTCACCATCCATGCTGATGCTACCAGTTGTCCCAGTGGTTAGAATCTTTGTTTTTTTGACATTTAGCTTCAGTCCATATAGGAGGCTGTAGTCCTTGATCTTCTGCAGCAAGCGCCTCAGGTCCTCCTCAGTTTCAGCAAGCAGGGTTGTGTCATCTGCATAATGCAGATTGTTGATGATTCTTCCACCAATCCTGATTCATGGACTGCCAAAAGAACAAACAGAAGTACAGCCAGAGTGTCCCTTGGAGGCAGAGACGACAAAGCTTGGTCTTACATAGTTTGGGCATGTTGATAGGAGAGGCTATTCCTTGGAGAGGGACCTCATGCTTGGAAAGGTGGAGGGCTGTTGAGAGAGAGTCAGACCCTCAATAAGAGGGGTTGATACAGTGACTGACTATTGCATTGGGCCTGAGTATGTCAAGTAATGAAAAAGATGGCTCAGGACTGGACAGCATTCAGAACTGTTCGTATGGTCAGGTTGTTCATTTGGTCACTATGCAACACCTAACAACAATGTGTAATCATAAGCAAGTGAGGGAAGATTTATGATACTATAGTTTTACTGGGAAGACTCATTAAATTTAAAATAATATTGTAAAAGTACTTACTTAAATAGAAATGTAAAATACTGAATTTGAAATTATTTATGGGTCTTGGGCAGTTGTGTGAAAATAAAGTATTCACAGCATGTATTTTTTATTTTCCAATATTTTTTATATTTTATGAGAAAAGGAAGGTGATTTATAGCATGTATTTTTGAGTATCCATACCAGAATAAAAGTTTGGTTTTCAGTATAAGAGCTCCACCTATAGGTTTCTGAGAAATTTGAAAAAAGAATTTTAAAACTAAATCTAATGTAATATAAACCAATAAACTATTTCTAGTTTCTTCTTTTGTTAGTATACTGATTTATTGAAAAGTTAGCCCTTTTCTACTTTGTAATAAAAAGCAAACCATCCAGTTTTTCATATGTATCTTGTGTTAAATAAATTAGACTTACTGAATATTTTATACCAGTATTGTAATTGTAAACTTATTTTAATTCAAAACTTGATTACCTTTGTAATGAGAGTTTTTTAATGAAAAGTAAACTTCTGTATTTTAGTGCAGAGGTGGTGATTGATTTTGCTTATTTATATGTATGTTTATTTCTGTCTTCATGAACATTAATATACTATTTTGAAAAGAAATCATTTGGAAAAAAAGATCTGATAAGTAAATAACACTTAGATATCTTTCCCATTACTGTGATAAGTTCTTAAAAACAGAATTACATACAGATAAATTTAATCTCTTCATAAAATAGCATTTATTTTTTATGAAGGAAATTGACCCTTAATTTTAACCAAAAAATTGGAAGATTTGGTGTTGCATGGGCAATGTGATGTGTAGCCCTTAGCATACATTATTGTATTCAGTAGCCTGAATCTGTACTGTAGTGATACAGAACAGTTCTTTTAATAGTGTTCCCTAAGTGCTGAACAGACACATTCTAGGCATGAACTTTTTTCCTACAGTAGAATGTACTTTTTTTTTTTTAGAATGTACTTTTAAAAACTTGATTGTATTCTGTAAGAATAAAGATTGACTCTTCAGTATCGTTTACCTTGCTTTGGTCCGTATAGATGAAAATACTTTCTAAAGTACCTATACTATAGTTCTCATCATTCTTGTATTGGCAAGTACAAGATTTCTATTTTAAAATAATTTTTTTCTAAATTATAATGGAAAGTTTGGCTGTCCACATATTGGGTTACCTGATTTTTAAACTAACAGAACTCAAAATAGCATGGGAGTTCAGACTTTGCGTTGTAGCAAATACTTATTTACACCAGTTCATTTATTCGGAGCACTTTTATCTTTCTATCATTATCTTTTTTTATCATTTTTTATCTTGTTGATTCAAAACTAAATCGTAGTTGACCCTCCAGCAGGTTTTCAAAGGCAGTAAATCTCTGGGAGGAGATTGTCCAGCTTTCTCTCACAGAGCAGGTGGTGGATTTGAGTTGTGTGTTTATTGCAGCGCAGCAGCTTCTCACCAGTAGACCACCAGAGCTCCTTTTGTATTAACTGACTTATACTTGAAGAATGAAAGTTATATAAGTGTTTCGGGTCTTTTGTTCATAGGATCGCTATGAGTCACCTATGACTCGACTGCACTTAACAACAATATCAACAACAAGAGAGCTCTGTTGGCTTAGTAGATAGAAAGAGACACTACCAAGCCACAGGTGTGTGATTTTAATCAGGCCTGGTTATAATTGTTTTTGGTCAAACATTCCTTTAAGTGGTATAGCACTTGTCTGTCTGTTTGCTGTGCAGATGTAACTCGTGGTTGCTCTGATGCTAAACACTGTGATACTGATGTGTCAAATGTGATAATGGTTACCCATAATGGACAGTGTTTGGTGGAACACTCCAACTAAAACAAGCTTGGAAGCAGGAGTGGCATCCACTTCAGAAATAGCTTGCCTCTGGAAACTCAGTGAACTCAGAGAAACGATGAAAGTTATACAGATTCAGGTCTTTCATTCGTAGAGTTGCTGAGTCATCTATGACGCAACTGCACTTAACAACAACAACATACTGTAATTAAATATTTTCTCCATCCAAGGGAACTCTCATAGAGAAAGCTCTGTTGGCCTAGTGGGTAGAAAAGTTATGCTACCAAGCCAAAGGTGGGTGATTTTAACCTGTGGCCCTCAGGCCTGGTTTTAATTGTTTTTGGTCAAACATTCTTCTAGGTCAAATATGATAATGGTTACTCATGGTGGACAGTGTTTGGTGGAGCTCTCCGATTAAAACACGCTTGAAAGCAGGAATGGCATCCACTTCTGAAATAGCTTGTCTCTAGAAACTCTATCAACTTGGAGAAACGATGAAAGTTGCCCAAGTGTTTAGGTCTTGTGATCACAGGTTCTCTATGAGTCATCTTCGATTCAACAGCACTTAACAACAAACAGCGTATTATAATACAACAACAGTCTTCTCTTCCCTTGTGGGAGATAATTAGTAATGCACATATTCTGAGCTTTCATAGTAATTTTTCAGTTAAGTATGCAGTCTCTTCTTTTTCTATAAAGTGCCTATCACATCTGATAACTATGTACCTGTGGTCATTAATTTTGTCACATCTAATTTACTGCTTTTCATCTCCTATTTTAAAATCAGATAATCTAATTTAATACTACTTTAGTATTAAGAGATCCTAGGATTTTACATTCTACTGAAGGCTAGGGACCTCAGTTAACCTAGTCAGTAGGAAGTTGCACTGCCAACCGAAAGGTAGATGGTTCAAATCCACCTGCTGCTCTGCAGAAGAAAGATGGGTAAATCGCTTCCTATGCTATTTACAACCCCTAAAAATCCATTGGGAGGTTTCATTTGAGTATTTTATAGTCAGAGTTGAAGACAATACAAGGAGAATAATCGAAGGGAGTGCTGTAGTGTATTTTATTCTCTGTATGTGATTATTCTGTGATACTCAGATGTCTAATCATAAAATATTTTAATCATTGGTGATTTTAAGGCTTTGCATTCTAAAGAATTGAAAAATTATTCATGGTCCTGTAATAAAACTTGACTATATTATGCTTAGAATTTAAAAAGATTTTGTAGTATTTTGAGGTAATGTTCTGCTTGTTTTATTCAGTCATCCTCTGACTTGTTAAAAAAATCTGTAATCTAGCATTTTAAGGGCATGCTGTGTACTTTCTCCTTATGATTTCTTTCAGAAGACTGTGCTCTAACTCCAGCATGGCATGCCCCTAAGGACCTAAGCACTAGGTCTTTATGCTACCTAAATGCTGAACTTTAGGTAACTTTTAATGAAACAAATTTTACGGGTGGGTTTTGAAGATAAAAAGATTGTTCCGTCTCCATGACCAAAGCTAGCAATCCTGATTCTAAAGCTGCTGTTCAAACATTCAGTCTGAAAATGTTGAAGTCTTTGCCTCCTCCAAATGTGGACTTAATTTGGGATAAGGAAAGAATATATCTCATTAGAATAATAGAGACTCTTTATGGTGGATAATGCCACATTTTATTATATATGATTTGAAGTCTGAAATTGGGGTTTCTGTTATTGTTGGTTTAATAAACACTGGTTTACTTGTTTTAAAGTATAATACTGTGTTTTAAAGTATAATAATTAGCCGAGATTGCTTTGGCTGTCTTCCAGCGTGTGGAGAGGCTCCAGAACAAATCCGAGCACCAAGTGGTATTATCACGAGCCCAGGCTGGCCCTCTGAGTATCCTGCCAGAATCAACTGTAGCTGGTTCATAAGGGCAAACCCAGGGGAAATCATTACCATAAGGTACTTCTAATGCTTTTCCCATCACAGTTTTTTTATTGAGAAATATAAATCCCATTCCTAAGTATCATTAATATAAAAATTGAAGCTTTCCTGAAAGTGTGATGAATTGTACGTAGCTGTTCCATCTTGCAGGTTAGAATAATGACTCATCCTTTGCCTAATATTAGTGGAGTATTTGGAATGTTTTTGAACAATGGATTAGGAAATGGAGCTGTCCACATTCTTTTCAGCTACCTTTAAACAGAAGATACATATTTACATAATAGCTTATTAGGATCATTGTAATCATGAGCTATAAGACAAACTAATACAACTCACTAATCTACTTGAAGATCTAGCCTATGGCTTTAGTCTCATTACTATTTTCTACCTTAATGTGCTTAAAATGTAGGGAATGTAGGGAATGTAGGTGTCTCTCTCGGTCTCTCTCTCTGTCAGTGTGTGTGTGTAAAGCTTGAGTCAATAATGAATAAGTACTGTCTCCAAAAATAATCTTTTTTTCTAAATTTGAATAAGAAAAATTGTTAAGAATACAAAGTGAAAGGCATTGTTAAGAATAATAACCAAAAAAATTTAAAAAAATAAAAAATTAATAATAACCATAAATTTGAGATTCTAAGTATATAAATATGGAAGATTAAGATTGATTTTAAAATCATTTAGTGAATCGATTGCAGAGAAAAAGTATGGGACTAGGTACAAAGGAGAAAAAAACTTTCATAAAAGTAGTGCATACTTAAGAAAGTTGTATCAAGGCTATCTTGAAAACATCTATTTTCTTGAAGGCAGGAGAAATAAAAAGTGTACTCGAACAGGCTAGGAGTCGTGGTGGTGCAGTGGTTAAATACTTGACCATGCACTGAAAGATCAATGTTTCAAACCTCCCAGCAGGTCCCTGAGGAAAAAAGACCTGGTGATTTGCTCCTATAAGAATATTGCCTAGAAAACCTTAAGGAGCAGTTCTCCTGCATCTGGTAAAGTTCCTTTGAATCAGACAGAATCGACTAGGTGGAGCACGACAGCAGCAAACAAGAACTGCACTTGAAACTGGAACACAAAAAAAATGCTATTGGCTTCTCAGAGACATTGTTCTGCTGTTTTACAGAGGCACCCTACACTATCCTTTTACTTGTGGCATTTTTATAGGTGTTGTTGTTGTTGTTATGTGTAGGAATGTTAAATGTTTCTAAAATTTAGAAGGCACTTTGCAGATCTTAAACTTAGAGCCATTTTTTCTTAAGAAAATGAGACTTATAAATAAAGCTTTTTCATCTTTTTCCATATTACCTAAAGAGAGAAGCAGTCTCTCTTGAGATTAAACTGTAGCCCATCCCTGTTTTATAAGGGCCATGTGATTTTTTATAATTTTTTATTCCCTTTGCCACAGAGCACTTATAAGGAATCCTGGAGTTGAGTTCATATACAACCTAATCCACTTCCCTTTGGGAAATGTGAATCTCTTACCTGATTAATTAGTAACATGCACCATGAAGGTTATCCTTAGTGATGCCAGTATTGGAATCAGAAGAAATAGGCTTTATTTTTTGTTACTTGTAATGTGACCAAGTATACATATACAAAACCGAATTGTGTTCACCATAGACGTACACATACTAGATTTCTTTTTTCCATCATAAAAGTAAAATTTGTAGATTTTTATCTTTTGAACTAGAGCTCCACATTCAAATTTAAAGTTGCACTTTTTTGAGACTTGTTGCTGTTGCAGAATGAGGTCACATGGAGTCCTGCCATCTGTTTCTGATCATGTGCTGGATACTTGAGATTTCAAAGTGTGACACACTACAGACCAAGAACAATAATGAAATGCAAAACAAAGTTAGAGCTAAGCCTTTATCGAGACAGATTTCAGAAAAGCTGGAAGGAGTTAGTGAATTTGTACTTACACAACTTAAGCAAGATTAGAAGGTGATTTTAGTAATTTTAGTAAAGTTCTTCGGTGAACTTGTTATGATGGTAATATTAGGACTTGGAAAAGATGACACACACCTACCTAAAGACAGACATGTTTCACTTATGAATATTTATGTAAAAGCTTAATTAAATCATTCGAAAGAATCATAGACCACAAACAAGTAAGTTTCATCTAAACAAACAAAACTGAGTCCATATTGGGAAGTTTTAAATTTATTGGACTAACAAGTCAAAAGTAAAAACACGATTTTCTAAAACAGAGTCAGTCCACTCTTTAGGAACATGATCCATTACTAAGTGTTTCTTCTAATTTCAGTAAATCTTTAAGCTAAGTTTATAATAGTCAGCACAAGTGCATACAGTTCTTACTTGATCTTTAATGCAGGGAAAGGCGTGAAGTGTTTTCTGTGACAAAACTGCATGTGCAGATGGTAAAGCAGTATGAGTATGCTGAAATTGTTATTAAGGGTTAGTTCAGTCATTTTAAGGTGAAAGCACATTTACGTGACATTAAAAGGCAGCTAAAAGTTGTGTGGAAATCAGGTTTTTGTAAGTTGGAGCCTACCTGTAGACAGATGTTTTATAACATTTTGAGAAAAAGACATTTTTCCCTGAATTTAAAACTAAAATTCTTCACAAAGACAATTTGTAAAAAGCTTTTAAAAATCTGAATAAAAGATGTAAATGGAAAGTACGGAATATAAAAATATATAGTAAGAGCTTTCTTTGTAATACTGGTTGAAGATGGTGACATAAAGTCATTTTTCACTCCTCTTCACTGAAACTCATATAAGTCAGTAAAACCCATAGGAGATTGCAAATTAGTTCCTAGTTTGCTACTTTAATAATAGGGTTGAGTAAAATATTTTGCTTAAGGAGGAGGTTGGAAAAAACTTTTAACTGACCAATGCTTGAACTTTTCTGAGGCTGAAGTCTTAGAAAGGGAGGAGGTCACACTCTAATTAATATGAATTTGATGTATGAGTCGTAATTAACTCAGTGTGTACCACCACCCCTGGCCCCACCATTCCGGGCTGGTTCTGGATTAGAGATCAGGTCTAGGTAACCACACAACAAGTGGAGGAATCTAGAAGGAAGGTAGCAAACAAAGAGAAAGAACCAGCAGTCTTCTCCAAGATAAGTGTACAGCCCAAAATTGTAGAATGAATACAATTTAACACTTAGGTAATCTACCTTCAAAATCAGATTGGCACATAAATTTATAACCAGGTAATATAACTGTTATTTTGTTGGGGCTTCTTTGTAACTCTTTTATACCAGGGGCACTTTGGGTAGTTTGGGACACCTGGGAGCTTTACCCAGAAAGTTAGTTTTGAAATTTGGAGGATAAAATGATTGTATTATAAAGCAAGCTGGTCACACTGTGGGTTATAGCTATCAAACAGTTTAGAGTATTTGTAATAGAGTAATATGTGCTTATTTATCAACAAAATAAGAACTAAGGATGATTCAAAAATAATTTCAGAGTGAGTATAAATGGTATTTTTAAATTTATGTAACAACTGAAATGTAATATGAAAATACTGTGTGCTTTCTATAGATGGTAGGCACTGTTAATGTAGTTTGTTCCCTGTAGTCACAAAGGAAATGCTAATTCTGCATTCAAAGATAGTGAAAATAAAGTTTTCTTTCTTGAGGGGGAGATTTTGCCTCTAGATACGACAGAGGAATAGAAACACTGAGAATATACTTGAGCCTTGTTAAAAAAAGAGGGCTTAAGTATTTGAATTAAAACATCTAAAATTAACTGCTAAAAAATAGAAATGATAGTCTTGAGCATATGTAGACGAACAGTAGCTTTTAAAACTTTATTAATATAGAAGACGACAGACGTTCTGTCAAGTGGAAGAAATCTCAGGGGAAAAGACAGTCTTCTCCCTTGTAATTTTACAGACTCTGAAAACCTGCTGGTGGGTTAGCTAAAGCTGGCACATAACAACAACAACATGACATAACTTTAGTTAATGATGATTTATGGATACATGTTTAGCAGTTTTAACAAATATTCAAAGATTTTAATAGTGAAAGCAATGTGCAGGAGAGAGAAAAGGGGGCCAAGGGAACCGTCTGTATAATTTTTTTATAAATCTAAAAATGTTCTAAAAAATAAAGTTTTGATTCTTTCCTAACAAAAAAAAAAACCCACAAAAAACAAAACTCCACAAAACACCTTTGGGCCTTAGAATCAAAAACAAGCTTCTATGGAAAGGTAACATCAGAATTTAAGGTGCAAAATAGTAGTGGACTAATACTAGGAAAGAAGATACTCTTATGATGAACTTGGTGTACCCTAAAACATCATAAAATATTTGCAAAACAAAAAGTGCAGAATTATCACACAAGTTTTAGTAATTCACAGTTATGGTGGGAAATTTCAAATACACCTTTAATTAGGATTTAGTAGATGAAACCGACACAAAAATAATTAGTAAAGACACTGAAGAGCGGATAAACAAAGTTAACTCGTTTGTTTGAACAGTAAGAAGAGGTATTGCAGTTAGTGGAGGGTGTTTATTTTTCTGTTTTAATGAGTAGAGAATATATAGTTTTTCCAAAGTCATGTGGAACATATATTTAAAAATTGATTATGTACTAAGTAACAGAGGAAGGGAGAATGCATGGAAACACAGCCTTTGAGATTTTGGGTTTAGACTGCATGCAATTAAATTAGAAACAGTATAATTCTGAGGGGTGAAGAGACCTGAGAAAGACCCAGAGATCTGGAAATACATTTTTTTTAAAAGAGCTCTTGCATTAAAAAAAGTCACAGGGGGTCTCAAAGAATTACTATAATAAAAGTCATCATATCATTAATATCATATGCAAGCAAAATACTGCTGAACATTATCTAAAACCGGCTAGAACAGGACATTGACACAAACTGCCATAAGGTCAAGCTGGGTTTAGAAGAGGCCTTGACACCAGAGATAATAATTTTTTATATCAAATGGATCCTGGCTGAATATAGAGAATACCAGAATAACGTCTATTTGTGCTTTATTGGCTATGCAAAGACATTTGACTGTGAACCATAACAAATTATGGTTAACATTGAAAAGTGTGGGAATCCCAGAAGACTTAATTGTGCTCATGTGAAACCTACACCAAGAACAAGAGGCTGTTTTGTGAACGGAGCAAGGAAACACTATATGGTTTAAAATTAAGAAAGGTGTGTATCTGGGTTATATACTTTCTCTATACCTATTAAATCTGTATGCTGAGTAAATTTTTCGAGAAACTAGGCTCTGAAGAAGAATGTTAACACTAAGATTGGAGGAAGACTTAAGTACTTGTTGCAGAAGATCAAAGAATACAGCTTTCCAATGTGGATTACATCTCAACATCAAGAAAACAGAAATTCACTGAAGCAAAACATCGTTAATAGATAGAAAAAATATTGACACTATCAACAACTTCATCTTACTTGGATCCACAGTCAGCATCCAAAAGAACAAACTGATAGTCTTGGAGAAAGTGCAGCCACCGTGCTCATTGGATGATGCCAGGACGACAAAGCTCTCTCTCATACACATGCTTTGGGCTTGTTGCTGGGATAGGTTACTTGGAGGGAAAAGTTTATTTTAAATGCATTTTTTTTATATTAGTAAAATTGAAAATAATAATCCTCAAGAATTTAAATAAAGACTTGTAGAACTAGTGTCATGTAGGGGGAAAGAAGAATGAGATCCAATAAAACGGAAACCTAGATTTCTGGAAAAAAAGGTATATGATAGACAATTCTGAAGTAAAGACTGGAAAAGGAAAAAAAAGATACTAAAAGAAAATGGGAGCAAAAAAGTCTTAAAATTATAGATACAACAATAGAGATTTTATTTTAAGGAGAATGTTGTAAACAACTTAATGGTAATTCTTTTTTAAACAGACAAATAGGTTATTTTCTTTAAATAAAATGTATTGCTAAAATTAAGAATTTTTAAAAAACTCTGAAAACTGATTATATCAGTGGCCATAAAGAAGTCAAATTAACATTCAAATTATTTTCCACAAAATCTCAAGGCACTTTAGTGAAAAGAGAAAAGTTATTTCAACAACTGATAACTAAGCAAACGTGTGTGTGTGTGTGGCGCGGGGTCTTAATGTCAGTGCCTACCGAAGAGCACACAAAAATTAAGTGGATAAAAGTATCTAAGATAAAAGTATCTAACAGCACAAACCAAAAAGAACACTGTCAAAACAAATTCTTACTAGGAAATACCATTAAGAAAAGGAAAGGCCGACTTGGGGAAAATATAGCAATGCATGTATCTACAAAAGTACAGTCAGCGTCACAGAAGGGAAACCAGTAATGGTCATTACACATGTGAAAAAGTTCTCAGCATCATTTTCTTCAGAGGAATGTTTATGAAATCACATTGAGGGATGCTGTTTCACACACACTAGTGCTAAAATTAAAAAGACTGGCAGTTCCAACTACTGGGGAGAACCTGGGTATGGGGTGGATATACCCGTATCTTAATAGACAAGGATTCAAATAGGTTCATGTTTATATTAAGAAGTCATACTACAAGGTGCCACTTTTAAAAATGAAAACAAATAAACAACAACAAGGAAATCCACAATAAAAGATACAGAATTAACTAGTAAACATTGAGGAAAAGTATTACAGTCTTAGTGATTAAGCACATGAAAAGAGCATAATGATAAATCCCACTGTCAGACCCAAGAAACGGTGTCTGAGTCCACCAGCTGCTCAGTGAAGATGGACAGTCTTCTCCCATGAGATTTTACTGCCTCTGAAAACTCTCTGAAGGGTCAGCTATGAGTCGGTTCCGACTTGATGGCACTTAACAATTGTAATCAAATTTTTTAAATTAGAATTTTGTTAGGTGAGTGGTTCTTTGATGGAACTGTAACGTATTACAAGCAATTTCAAATTTCAACGTGAAATTGTAGCTTTTAACTCAGCAGTTATAATTTTGGAAAGATCTGTCCTAGTGAAGTACTTAAATATTTTCCACTTTTGTAGAAAAGGTTGCTTGTTAAAGAATTCTTTAAATTATTGTTAATAATAGTGGAAACCTGGAAACAAATTGTCAGTCAGCCTTTGTTATAGTTATTCAGAATCTTTTAGAAACAGCCTGGTAAAATTCAAGTTAGACTGTGTTATCAGACAAGGATTAGTGTCTTTTTGGTGATGACTGATCACAGTTATGGAAGTGATATTTTCCTTTGTTCTTATTGGTAAGTAATGGTTAAATTTGCATGTGCTTTTATTTGTTGTTTGTTTTGTGGGTTTGAGTGGGAGGGTTGGGTTTTTTTGGGGGGTGGTTTTTTTTTTTCCTTTTATTCATGCTGACGTTTTTACTTTGCTTAGATTTGTGTTGGCTTCTTCTGAAAATGTAAAATAAAATATAAACTTTACATTGAGCAAGCAAATAAGCAAGTTCAGTCTAAAAGAAAGCTATGTGTAGACTTCATTAAGTTAAAAAACGGTGTTCCTGGCCCAGCCAGCACAGTGTATGGTATTCTGAATTAAAAGTGACCTTTTTTGAACACACACAGTACACAATCTTTTTCTTCATTTACTGTTCAGAGTTTCTGTTAATTGAGACTAGAAAAAAATCATTATACTTCTTGTTATTTGAAACTCAAGAAGCAGAGAAAGTGAATTTATGAGCATGTAAGCTTTATAACTAGACCAAGATCCAGTGAGCCAGTGTGTGCAGTTAGTAAGATGTGACCAATGGAAAAAACAAACTTGTTTTTGAAGGGAAAATATTATCAAAAGAAACAAGTAAATTATGGTATAACCATGACATGGTGAAAGGAACAAATAGATGTCTGTATGCACTCAGCTGGAAGCAAATTGCAAAGTAATGTACAGAGTATAGAGAAGAATTCCCACGTGGTAAAAGAACAAACTTCTAGTCAAAAGTCTAGCACAATAAATAGCCTTATTTAGTTGCTCCTAGCCTGAGTAGGAGTGTGAGAGAAAGTTTTAAAGACTATCGTATACTTTTTAATACTTACTGATATAAATGTGTTATTTGAATTTTTATAATAAACCTTTTGCTATGCTATTTTTCAAATTGGAAAGAGAAAACTCAGCATGTCTTAAAACGAGAAGCATCTCAAAGTGCTAAGTGGTAAACAACTAGGAACATCTCCATGAAGAATGATGTTGTCCTGCATCACGTTTTGTTGTTTATTTTAAAGCATTCTGGAATCTAACATCTATTGGGGAGAAAATGTACTGTCCTTAAATCTAAGAAACTGATAAGAATATTATTAACAAAAAATCCTGTTATTATTTACAAATGAGTTGTATGTCTGGAAAATACAAGATCATCTGTGGAGGGAATTTTAGCAATGTCCTCTGATATATTTTATTATTATGGGTATTTTTTTTCAGAATTGTTTTTAATACGCTTTTCTGACATTTTATTTCTAGTTTTCAGGATTTTGATATTCAAGGGTCCAGAAGATGCAGTTTGGACTGGTTAACAATAGAAACATATAAGAATATTGAAAGCTACAGAGCTTGCGGATCCACTGTTCCACCACCATACATCTCTTCACAAGACCACGTCTGGATCAGGTTCCATTCAGATGACAGTGTCTCTAAGAAGGGTTTCAGACTGGCATATTTTTCAGGTGTGTTTTTAAAGAAATTAAACTGAATTCTATAACTTAACTTCTCAGTCACTTTGGAGCTGGTTTTCTAAACATCCATTTGATTGTGACTACGATTATTCAGTCTGCACATTGTCAGTCAGGAGACTAAGGTATTCCTGATCCAGGCCATGGTCTTCACAATTACTTGCTATGCGTCAGAAAGCTGGATATTGACTAAGGATGATAGAAGGTGAATTGATACCTTTGAGCCTCTTGAACGGCATTATTTGGGGCAGGGATATGATTCCTCCCCTCCCCCATCTCGGACTTCATTGCCATTGCTTTGTACTTGGAATGAGAATTCTTAACACTTCACTTTGTCGTTGTGCCAAAACAACAAAAGAAGTGCGAAAACATGAGTATTCATATTATACTTACTTAATATAAGATAGTATTGTGAGTTACTGAATAATTCATATACCATTATAAATTTGTCATTAGAACTTAATAATTTTTTTTTAACATAAGAGTTTTAAAAATCCCTATCACCTGGGCTTTTTAAAGCAGATTTGATTTTAAAAATGTCCTTCACTGGCTTTATTACAGTATGAGAAATTTTGACAGTGATTTATTATGGGTGATAGTTGTTAAGCATGATTAATGTAATTGATGTCACTATACTTGAAATACGTTGAATAGATAAATGTGTTTTACATATTTTTATAACTTTTTTAAAGTGTAAAACTGATTTTTTTAACATGTATATATGATCAATCACAGGCTTTTATTTGTATTTTAAAGACTCTGTTTTCCTATCCTTTGTCTCCTGTCATCCTACTTCCCACAGGGAAATCTGAGGAACCAAACTGTGCATGTGATCAGTTTCGTTGTGGAAGTGGCAAATGCATTCCCGAAGCCTGGAAATGTAACAACATGGATGAATGTGGAGATGGTTCTGATGAAGAAGTCTGTGCCAAAGAAGCTAATCCTCCGACAGCTGCTTCTTTCCAGCCCTGTGCTTACAACCAGTTCCAGTGTCTGTCCCGGTTTACCAAAGTGTACACTTGTCTCCCTGAATCACTGAAATGTGATGGAAACATTGACTGCCTGGATCTCGGGGATGAGATTGACTGTGACGTGCCAACCTGTGGGCAGTCATTTAAATATTTTTATGGGACTTTCAATTCCCCCAATTATCCAGACTTTTATCCTCCTGGAAGCAACTGCACGTGGTTAATAGACACTGGTGATCATCGGAAAGTCATTTTGCGCTTCACTGACTTTAAACTCGATGGTACTGGTTATGGGGATTATGTCAGAATCTATGATGGATTGGAGGAGACGCCACACAAGCTCCTGCGTGTGTTGACTGCTTTTGATTCCCACGCACCTCTCACAGTTGTTTCTTCTTCTGGACAGATCAGGGTACATTTTTGTGCCGACAAAGTGAATGCTGCAAGGGGCTTTAATGCTACTTACCAAGTGGATGGCTTCTGTCTCCCGTGGGAAATACCCTGTGGGGGCAACTGGGGCTGTTACACGGAGCAGCAGCGCTGCGACGGGTACTGGCATTGCCCGAATGGAAGGGATGAAGTCAATTGTACCATGTGCCAAAAGGAAGAATTCCCATGTTCCCGAAACGGTGTCTGTTACCCTCGTTCTGATCGCTGCAATTACCAGAATCATTGCCCAAATGGCTCCGATGAGAAAAACTGCTTTTTTTGCCAGCCTGGAAATTTTCACTGTAAAAACAATCGTTGTGTGTTTGAAAGCTGGGTGTGTGATTCTCAGGATGACTGTGGTGACGGCAGTGATGAGGAGAATTGCCCGGTCATTGTGCCGACCAGAGTCATAACTGCGGCCGTCATAGGGAGCCTCATCTGTGGCCTTCTCCTCGTCATCGCCTTGGGATGTACTTGCAAACTTTATTCTCTAAGAATGTTTGAACGAAGGTTAGTACCAAGACACAAGTATAGTGGTTACACTCAACAGTAATAACATGACCAAGATACTTTTAACAAGTACTTTCACTATGATTCATAATATGTTTTGTTTCATATTTTGAATGATTAAATATTGCCTAGAATATATAAAATTCATGTGAAAAGGCTAAAACTATTGTACAACTAATAAATAACTTAGAGGAATAATTTAGGCTTAAATAGCCCATTTGTTTACCAGTTTGTTTTCAGATTGATCTATTTTATGGGTGCTTTATAAGCTGCAACTCGTAAGTTGTCTTATTTAACCTGTGTCCTTAAGCAGTTGCAGATACAAGGCATAATTTCACAAGGCATTTACAGTTTGAAGAAAAAAATTACTAAGACGAATATGATAGGAATAATACATTTTTCATTGTGAGAGTTAGGAAACTCAGTGCTGTAAAATCGAAAGGGACCATCCTGATAGAGGATTGGAAGGCTTTTTATTGAACAGGCATTAGTTGACATGCACTTGAAAAAGTAAATGATATAGGTATCGTAGTTGAGGGGGGGTATTTAAACTGGACAAATACATAAAAGTACTAGTCCTCAGTAATTCTTGGAGAATAAGCATGTATTTGTTTGAAGCTTAAGATCCATCTGAAGGATGAATAGGAGATAAGACTAGAACACAAGACTAGTATCATGTAACACTCTGTGAGAGCCATGCTTGAGATTCCTTCTCAAATCAAAGTAAGAAATTGTTGACCATTAAAAGGGTTTTTTTTGAGAAAAGGAGTCCACTGTCAGCTGGACTTCAGGTTGGAGAAGGATGATGATGAGCATGAGAAAACCTGATGGCAGAAAGACCACCCATGAGGCTTCTGTGGAGACAATGACCTTGAAGTTCAGTGCTAGAAATAATAACACAAAAATCTACATATCCAACAGCGTCAGAATAATCATTGCTGTACTTTTTCTTTGGGCAAGTGGAAATGGCCCAAGGAACCTTTTACTCCCTTGCAACATAAGAATCACCATCAAGTGTCAGGAGTCAGGAGTTCAAGAACCAGTAATTCCAGAGAGTGTCATTTCACTTTTATTCTAAAAAAGAAATGTGTGGTACTGAATAGTGTTTTCTGAGAGCTTTCAGAGAGACCCTGGTGACACTGTAGCTTAAGCATTAAGCCGCTAACTGAAAAAGCAGTTTGGAATGTACCAGCTTCTCCTTGGGAAATGATGAGGTATTTTTCTGTCATAAAGATTTACAACCTTGGAGCCCCTCTGAGTCAGTTCTGCTTTTCTCTGCCCTGTAGGGTTGCTTTGAGTGAGAATCAGCTCAGTGACAGTGAGTTTTAAGAGCTTTTAGAAACTTTGTAATCTGAAAAAAAAAATAAATTCAATTTGACGTGTGATGGTTTTTACAATAAAAGATATTAAGAAGGGATTCTGAGGCTCCGTCTAACATACTTTGGACATGTTGTGAGGAGAGACCGGTCCTTGGAGAGGGACATCATGCTTGGGAGGGTGGAGGGAGAGCGCAGGAGAGGAAGGCCCTCTATGAGATGGATTGATTCAGTGACTGGGATAATTGGGATGGGAGTGTCAGAGACGGTGCGATTGGCATAGGCCAGAGCGGAGTTTAGGGCTGTTGTACATAGGGTCACTATGAGTCGCAGGCGACTTGACGGCACATAACAACAACAACAACAATCTTTAAAACAAAACAAAACAAAAAACCAACTTTGTAATCTGTAACCCCTAGAGCTGGGGACTTAAAGGTGTGGTGTTGTGTATCGTTGAGTCCAAACTGACACATAGCTGACCCTGCCACAGGTTTTCAGAGGCAGTAAATTGCACAGGAATTGATTGCCCCGCTTTCTTCCAGGGAGCAGCTGGTGGATTCTAACCCTTTGGCTTCGCAGTGCAGTTCCTTATCACAGAGCCACCCGAACGCCTTATTTCTCTATTTTACAGTGATTTTTAATCTATGAAACTGAGCGACCCAAACTGTAAAGCCATGTGAAGAGAGCCTTCAGGCTGTGTCTTGATATTCCCCTTATAGGGCTAGTTGGTGAGGTTTTCTTCAGTAAATATTTGTCAGATGCCTAAACTTTAAAAATGATTCAGATGTGCTTTTTCTTTTTTAAATTATAAATAATTGTTAAAATACATTATTTTCTCTTGCCTCTTTCTAAAACTTTTTTATCCCCCATCTGCTATCAAAGATCATTTGAAACGCAGTTGTCTCGTGTGGAAGCAGAACTGTTACGAAGAGAAGCTCCTCCCTCGTACGGACAGTTGATTGCTCAGGGTTTAATTCCACCAGTTGAAGACTTTCCTGTTTGTTCACCTAATCAGGTATATTATCATTTATGATTCCTGCTTCATTAGGTAGAGTTATGTTTTCCTCCTTTTTAAAATTTTTATTTGAAGGGAAGTTTGCAAAGCGTTTTTTCCCCAGTCAACCATTCATACACATTTTGTTTTGTAACATTAGTTGTAATACCCACAATGCAATCTCACTTTTCCTAATCTTTCTGTCCTACTTCTTCTTGCCCTCGGAGCTTTTTCTTTGGGCACATGCTGTCTTTGACTTTGATAGGGTGTTCTCAGGACTGAGTACATCTTGCTACCTTATAAACCTGTCTCTTTCAAAGCAGGGTGGCAGCCCCAGGTTCTAAGGGCAGTGGAGGCCATCGTCCTGGGAATTCCACTGTTCTCTGCAGGACCAGGAAACCTGACCTTTTTTGGTTTTGTTCCACATTTTTATCTATTTGTTACCTTGAAATGCTAAGTGCCAGGTGGATGAAAGTTTTGTTTGTTTGAATACTTCTCTGTATAACCACTAGGTGGTGCATGAAGATAGTTGTATATATAATTATATATAGTTGTATGTATTAGTTATTATATATATTTGGAAGCAGGATTGGTATCCACTTCCTAAATAACATGTCTCTAGAAACTCTATGAACTTTGATAAATGTCGATAGTTGTAGAGGGGCTTCAAGCCTTTTGTTTATAGGGTCACTGAGTTGTGCTAGACTCAAAGGCAATCAACAACAACAAATTATTTATATATATATATATATTCCATCAATTCATTTATCTAGAAGATATTTCTTTCAAATTGGGTAATAGGTAATATATAAATATTATATGATCCCCATATATACCAAGTAAAGATCACCAGTGTTCAAAGCATAAAGATAAAATTAATTTATGCTTAACCCTAAATTGTAGAGTGTTATTTTAAAATTTTTACAATCTTTAAATATTGAGAAGGACTGTTATGTAGAGCTATAAACTAATCTCTGTATAAATTAATTTCTGTAACTTTTGTGTTTCTGTTTCCTATTCTCTTTTAAAAAATAATTTGTAGCAGTGCAAATAAATTGTCACTCTCCATTAGACAACAAATCAAAAACTCTGAAATACAGGAAAAGTTTTAATCCTGTAAATTAAAACTTAATTTGTATTATGTGTTTACAAACATAAAGGGCATTGCTGTCATAGTGAATTATACTCAAGATCCTTTTATCTTCCTGACTAAAGAAGTCAGGTAATTTTATTTTCTAGCCTTGGTTCACTTTTAGGAACCAAGAGTTTTGTGAGGTAGAAGGAAAGTACTCTGCAGTTTTGAAACAGAATAGCAGCTACAGTTGGTAATAAATACCTAAAAGCTGCATATATTAAACAAGTGTCAGGACATTAAAACATCGTGAGCAGTGATTCAAGTAACAGATTCTATAGTGATATGACCATCTACAGGTAAAAGAATTCAATTCATTCTCCTGAGACCCTAACAACAATGGGTAATGGAATTTTCCCACAACATTCTTAATAGAAGGGTGTTTTCCATCTCAGTACAATGTTATTACCCATCTGAAGCTCTTTTTTTATTTTTGTAGGCTTCCGTTCTGGAAAACCTGAGGCTCGCTGTACGATCTCAGCTTGGATTTACTTCACTTAGGCTTCCAATGGCAGGCAGATCCAGCAATATCTGGAATCGTATATTTAACTTTGCGAGATCTCGTCATTCAGGGTCACTGGCTTTGGTAACAGCAGACGGAGATGAGGTAGTCCCAAGTCAGAGTACCGGCAGAGAACCTGAAAGAAATAATGCACACCGAAGTTTGTTCTCCGTGGAATCTGATGATACAGACACAGAAAATGAGAGAAGAGATTCCGTAGGAGCATCTGGTGGGGTCGCAGCCCCTCTGCCCCAGAAAGTTCCCCCAACAACAGCAGTTGAAGCAACAGTGGGAGCCTGTGGCAGTACCTCGACTCAGAGTACCAGAGGTGCTAATACAGAGAGTGGAAGGGATGTGACGAGTGTGGACCCCCCAAGCGTGAGTCCAGCTCGTCACCAACTCTCAAGTGCACTAAGTCGTATGACTCAGGGGCTCCGCTGGGTACGTTTAACGTTAGGACGATCCAGCTCCGTAAGTCAGAACCAAAGTCCTTTGAGACAACTTGATAACGGAGTCAGTGGAAGAGACGAAGATGATGATGTTGAAATGCTAATTCCAGTTTCTGATGGAGCTTCAGACTTTGATGTGAATGACTGCTCCAGACCTCTTCTCGATCTTGCCTCAGACCAAGGACAAGGGTTTAGACAAGCAGTTAATGCACCAAACCCTGGAGCGAGGCCAAGTAATCGAGATGGCCCCTGTGAGCGCTGCGGTATTGTCCACACTGCCCAGATACCGGACACTTGCTTAGAAGCAACACTAAAAAATGAAATGAGTGATGATGAGGCTTTGTTACTTTGCTAGGTGTGAGTCAAATAAAAGAGATTGTATACAAGTTGGAGCAATATCCATCTATTATTTTGTAACTTTACAATGAAAATTAGTTTTAGTTTAAAAAGAAAAAGATGCAGGGTGATACCTTACTCAGATGTCTTAGCCTGCATGGTTAAATGAATTCCTTGTTGTAACTCTATAAATGTTTAGAGTTCACTATTTTAGCAGCTATAGATACATTACATATTCCTGTTGTTCAATGATGTTCTTCCATTTGTTTTTAATTGTTTTTATCCTGGTACTGTAGTCACAATAGAAATATGGCTGCTGATCCTCATTTGACTGTCAGTCTGTCCCATGTTCTTATATTTGTACAGTATAATATCTTCTTTTAATTGACCCCTTTATGCTTTTGCCAACACATTTTGAAACTTACTCTACTAGATGTTAAGGTTGTTAATGTTAAAAAAAATCCTTATCCTCATCTGTGTTTTTATTTATGTAACACTTGTCTAAATGTTACTGGATTTCATGATAATATACACTTGTCAAAGGGAGAAAATAATTTTCTCTAAATATTTTTCTCTTATGTTAAACATACAGTGACGTGAAATTTAGATAGCTAGATAAATTATTGGCAAAAACAACTCTTTTATAGATTTTCTAATGTTAACTTTAATACTCTAAAGTGGTACATACCAAATGGTAAAATCCCAAGTAATTTCTTTTCTTTCATTGCTACTTAGGGACAGAATTAAGTGGATGAAGATACTCTACTATGCATTAAATCTTGAACTTTATAAAGTATGTACAAAATTGTACAAGATAAGTTCCACCTGGTAATGTCTTTTCCCTGATGAAGGGTTATGCTTGTCTTGGACCCTAGGGATTTGCACTAAAGTCTTACCAAGATCTCAGCTGAGTTTAGTGCACAAGCACTATCACTTTAAATACTATTATTTGCTACCACAATAACTATATTTCCATAGCTTTTTATGAGGGATTGGGGAATGCATTTTTATTACAACTTTAAGTTGCTTTGCTTATTTCATATTTATTTGTTGTATTTAATAACTGCATTATTGTGAGAAAGTGATTTTTTTCAATATATTTTATTCATTTTGGGGGTACCTGTATTAACATTGGAGAAAAGCAAATCAGACCATCCAGAGCACCCCCCACACTTTTTTTTAGTAGAGTGAATTGCAAAACCGTACATATTTTTTTTGTATCGTCGGTTCCTATTTATTTATTCTGTAGTTGTCTGTTTTAGTAGCCTAATGATTGAGTATGAAAAATGTATTTGTGTGTGATTATTGCTATTTATTAAATTTTAAATACTTTGCTGAATGTCATTTTAAAGCATGTTTGAGGTCTTGTGTGTTTGTTGTGTTATGCTGTCAGGAAGACTGACAAAAAATGTTTTAATATGTATCAAAAATTAAAATGACTTTTTCTATATTGCTTTGAGGTACTTTTTAAATTCCCTTCCCTCTTTGTTTTTGTTGACTTTGGTGCACATACAAATTGAATCCATAAAATATGCAATATATCCAGAAGAAAAAAATGAGTGGGAAGAGAAGCTATTCTGTCTTTACTGATAGTAGTAGCTTAAACCAGTCCTCAAAGGTAAGAATCCTTAAAGCCCTAATTATTATGTTGCCTTTGAAGAAACTTCTTAATTGGTGTATCTTATAAGATGCAAAATCTTTTTACATTACTTTTAGATGTATTTCATACTTCTGTCCAATATTCTACTGGCAAGATTCATGTTGCCAAGTTTTTGGTCTTTGTTGTTATATACTTTTGAGTTGGAACCAACTCATGATTGACCCTCTAGCAGGTTTTCAGAGGCAGTAAATTGCACAGGAGGAATTTCCCATGGAGAATGGCGCTGGTGGATTTGAACTGAGTGCCTTTGGGTTGGCAACAGAATTCCTTACCCTTAAGCCACCAGCGCTCCCAGATGTTCTGTAGGTTCTCCTAATACTGTCATTCAAGGATCTCTAGTATTATAGTGCATTGCCTGCCACACAGCCAAACAGATCATCAGCAATTTTAATTCACCAGCTACTCTAAGCAATGGAGATGAGTGGTCTCCTTCTGTTAAGATTTACAACCTTGGGAACCCAGTGGTGGATTACTGTGCTTTTGTATCCACTCAAGACAGCAAGTGGGTAATAATAAGTGGGAGAAAGGAGGAACTGTTAAATGTTTTAATTAGGTAATAAATTCTCTTGGCTTAAACAGTAAAAGATACTCAAGCCTATTAGTTCCATTTCGGGCAGATAATACCAGATTTTTTCCTAACCTTATGTTATTGTTATGTACCATCAAGTCAGAATGAACCATCGCTGACCCTCCAGTGGTTTTTCAGAGGCAGTTAATCTCATGGGAAGAGATTGCCCAATCTTCTCTGATGGAGCACCTGATGTATTTGAACCGCGACTATATCCCTATACCATATACATGCATAAAAAATACTCACATAAATGGCATGTATAGTAATGCAAATTGCAGCTACTGTACATCCATCGCTACTGTTTTTCCCAAGGGGAAGAAATGATATCTAGTGATAATTTAAACATAAATATTTAAATTTGGCCATTTCTATTTTATTTTCATGTTTAAGCCATTACTAATTCATTCTGAATTTGAGGTTTCATGTTTTTAAGGTAGCTACCTAGTTATCAAAACTATTTAGTCAGTTCTTCATATACCAATTTGAAATGGTAATTTGTTTTATCATAGTACATTCCTAAATTTGAGTATATTATCTAGAGCTAATTCTGTCCTGCTGATCTCTTTTCACACCCCTCGCACTGTTCTCATAACATTTTAAAATAGGCTTCACATGTTCCTAGTTTTTTCATTTAAACTGGAGAATTATTTTATTAGTTGTCACAAAAAATGATTAATACATTGTATTGGACAGCTTTACATGTATAGTTTAGGGAAATCAGACATTGTCGTGTTGAAACTTGCTATCTGATTGTGATGCAAGTCTTTCAGAAGTGCTTTAATGGTGACTTTAGTGATGTCATGTATGTGAATTTCCTCCTTTTTTTGTTACCATTATTTAAAAACCCTTTTCTGGTATTTTATGACTTACTTTGATACTAATATACATTAAGGCTGTTGTTTTATGCATGCTCATTTTCTGCCAGTCCCCAATCTGTTTTGTTACAATTTGTAATGTTTCAGCTCATCTCTTTAGATTTTTCAGTAGCAGAATTCTGCCATCTATAAACAGTGACAACATACCCCAACCTCTGTATGTACCTTCTTTGGGTCTTCATTGCATTTCTTCAGTACTTCTAGCATAATGTTAAATAGCACTAGCTGTCTTGAACTAAGATGAGATGGGTGCTTTATGTTAAAGAAATGATGATCTCTTCTTTTAAAAAAATCCTTAAGAATGTATGTCGAATTTTGTCATATACCTTCTCAACATGAGTAGAGATACCATTTTTCTCCTTAATGCTTTTAATATAATAATTTAATACTAATTTTTGTCATTTTGAACCATCTTTCCATTCCTGAAATAAACTCCACTTGGTCATAGCATATTTGTTACTTGCCAAGTTGTGTTTCCTATTAGGATATTTGCATCTGCATTCATCAGTGAGTTAAGTCTGTAGTGTTTTGGTTTTTTTTATTTTATGCTCTCTTTGAGGAACAGTGTTACCAATTTTATGCTGATGTTCTAAAAAGAATTTGGAAATGATTCTCTTGTTTTTCAGTGCCCTGAAATAGTTTAATGACTCATTTGTTCCTTAAATGTTAGTGAAATGATCAGAGCTGGGGGATATTTGCGGAAGTTCTTTGATAAGTTTTTGGTATGTTTGGTAAATGTTACATGTAGATTTTCTATCAGAAATCACCCATTTCATACACATTTTCAGGTTTTTACCCACAGCTGAGCAGCGTTTTCTCTTGGAAATACATGGCTCTTCCCCTTGTTTCTCCTTTTGTATTACGATCACTCCTTTTCCTTTCTTTTGATAGTTCACAGCTGCCCTGGGGCTTTGTTTTGCTTTTGTTTGTTTAACGTATGTTCCCCCCAAAGTACTATACATGGTTTTTGATTGCCTCAAGTCAAGCATGACTCAGAACAACCCCATGAACAAAAGGCCTGAAGTCTTTCTATGACTATTGACATTTATCAGAGTTCATAGAGTTTCCAGAGGCATGTGATTTAGGAAGTAGATGCCACTCCTGCTTCCAAATTATACATTGGTTATCTTTATTATTTTTGTTTTCTAATTCCACTTAAACATATCTTCTCCATTTTTTTTTTTTTTGGCTTTGCTAAGTCTGTTCTGTTATTCTTCTATTGATTAATTTTATGTCTTTGTCATTTCCATAAGACATAAAGTTAATCACCTAGGTACACATTAGTACTGACTTTGCTATTGCTTTCTAGGTATTCTGCAGTTCAGTATTGATTTCCTCTTTGGCCAAACCCCCATTGCTATGAAGTCAGTTCTAATCCATAATCACTGTGAGTTGAATAAAGGAATTTTGGGGTTGCTTGGGGTTTCCCCCCTTTCAGATAGGATCTCTCCTGTGTATGCTAGCTTTGTTTTCTGATTTATTTTCATTTTATGACATCAGTATCAATCAGTGTTGCATTTTATCTTCTTTGAGAAAATTATTGGTTCAATTTTTTTAACATATGAGGAACATTTCAAGTGTGTTCTATATTTTCTGGATACAGATTTTAATCCTTAGGAGATTTTGGTAATTTTGACCTTAATATACAGTACTTTGTCTTCCAGTGAATCAGAGCTCCAGCATCAGATTTGGAACAAAAGGAGCTGTATTAGAACGGTTCGTTAGGGCCAGCAAAAGAGAGGGAGCCCCTCAACAAGATGAACTGACACAGTGACTGTAACAGTGGGCTTGTAGCATATTGAGGATGAGGCAGGATAGGGCGAAGTTCAGATCTTGTTCATAGGATCGCTGTGAGTTGCAGTCAACTTGATGACAGCTAATAAAAACACAGGGCGTACTGTTGGTGTGGTCTGTGTCAGGATTCGTTCTGCTAACCCAGAGGTCGCATCCTTGGTGATTCAGATCCACCAGTGCCTCCTGGGAGAAGGGTGAGCAAGCTCTTGTGTGATTGATAATCTCTGAAAACCCACTGAAGGGCCAACTGTTAGTCCTTTCTGATGGCAATGAGTTACTAGGGCGCGCAAGGAACTCCCCTGATGGTTATGTGTTTTACTCCTTACTGAAAGTTTATCGGTTCATATCTTCTAGCTGCTCCCATAAAGATTTCTAGCCTCAGAAACCTGATAAAAGGGCTCCTTGGATCAGAATTGAAGGCAGTAGGTTTGGGTTTGAGAGGGCCAACTGTAGCACCTTACCTTATGGTAAGCACTAAATGAATGGGAGCCTTTCTCGAGTTTTCTAAAACTCTTCAGAGTTTTGTTGCTACTGCCGTCACCGCTGTCATCCACTGCTGAACTTGAAATAAATGGGTGTGACAGGTTAAAAGAGGTAAGAGATTACATCCTTTCGATAGGTGCTGACTGAGTACTCACTGTGGACCCAGTGTGTGTAACCACATCTGACATTGCCGCTGCTGGCCATTTACGATGTTTGGTGATTCATTCCTCCTGAACTCCAGCAGACCTGTTTAACTTGAGCAGTTCCTTTAAGGACTGTTAAGGACTGAGGCTGGAAGTAGGGAGTTCCTTTCTCAGGATATCTGAACTCATTCAGGATTAGCCACACATTCCAGCTTGGATGGCGATAATGTTGGCGTGGGATTGAAGTTGACTGTGGTTGCATCTTACTCTAAGGTAGTCAGCATCGGAGGTAATATTACTTGTCAGGCGTTGTTGAGTTGGCCCTGATTTAGGAATCCTGTGCTCAACAGGTTGAAACCCTGATCCTGGGTCATCCTCTGCTGAGCGTAAGCACATTGTGACAGTAACTGTAACCGCCTGTCAGGTTGACCCTCTGCTTTTCCGAGCATGATATCTTTTCCGAGGACTGGCCCCACGTGACAACATGCGACAGCACGTAAGACCAAGTCTCGCCATCCTTCCTTCTACGGAGTCGTGGCTGTCCTGCGCAGCAGTCTGGTCCATTCATAACTTCACCATCACAATTAAAGACATTGGTGAGTCTTTGTTCTGTCTTACTCATTGCCCAGCTTTCACGTGCATATGAAGCAGTTGAAAACACTTTAGGTCTGGGACACCTAAGTTGTTTATATTTTTGCCCTTTATCACGTTTTTTAAATTCTTCGCATCAGGTTTGTCGAAAGCAGTGGATTTTTTTTCTTTGATGGAGGGGGAGCTCTGGCAGTGTAATCCCTAGAGAGTTGCTTACCCAGAGGCCACACCTCTCTGGGAGTTCGGATTCACCAGAGGCTCTCTTGGGGAAAGATGGGCTCTTTCCTTCCCAGTGATGGAACACCTTGGAAACCCAATGGAGTATTACCTAGAAGCTGGTTCCTACACAAAAGTGA